CCTCTTTGAGAACGAAGGATGAAGAACAATCCCTCACACTCCTTATTCCTTCCCAACCTCAGAACTGAGCACATGTCACGATGCTTTTCTAAAGCAACTTGAATATTGAGCCCAAAATGGAGGTAGCAGATGAAATCTTCCTCCTCAACTAGAAAACTCTCAACTCCAGGGCTCAGCATTATCCTCCTCAACCTGCCCTAGCCTTTAGATAAGACAGCAGATGCATTGGAAATCTGGATGCAGAGCCCAAAGGCAATGCCTTCCCTGACACTTCTACTCTTCCCACTTTAGGTCTTCTCTCCTCCTCTTATTTCTCCTCCTATGACCCGGTCTGTTTCTTTATCTTTGTAGTATATAACTGGTCTACAAGGACTCTGTAAATCATAATTTCACATTTATGGATGGAAAGGGCCTCAGAGATCGTCTGATCTAATAGATTGTGCATCTTAACAGATGAAAGCAAAATATAGCAGAAAGAGTTCTAGAGACCTGAGTTCTAATTCTAGCTCAACCACTAATGCGCCACAAGTCACTACATGACCTTGAGCAATTCACTTCTCTCAGGCCTCATTTTCCTCATCCATAGAAAGGTCATCATTAGATAATAGATGTGAAAGTTATGCTATGTACAGCACCCACAAGGTATTGTTATCAGCACACCCACAGGTCAGTGATTCTGCTATCATTGTCCAGTCATTCAGCCATGTCCAACTCTTCATGACCCCATGGACCACAGCACCCCAGGCCCTTCTGTCCTCCATTATTGTCCACAGGGTTTTCTTGGCAAAGATACTGGAGTGGTTTGTCATTTTCTTCTCCAGTGACTCATTTTTTTTTCTCTCAGAACTCTCCACTATGACTGTCCATCTTGGGTAACCCCAAACATCACAGCTCATAGTTTTAATGAGCTATGCAAGGCCCTCTGCCATGACAAGGCAGGTGGACCAGGCCAGTGATCCCAAGAGGTAATAGAACTACCTGGCTTCAGGTAGGAGGATGTATAAGGAGACAGACAGGTTGGGAACACCAGGTACACACCATGGGTATGGAGTCCGGCCTTGCCCAGCCTAGTCAATATGTTCCACTTGGACATTCCTCAGTCTTGAATCCAGTCTTCTCGACTAAGTCCAGCCCCTTCCCTGAGAAATCTGTATTGCATTCTTACACTTAGTCCCCTGCAAAGCTAAGTTTTGGCTGGACTTTCTTCAGCCCCCTTGAACTCCTGAGGTAGCAAACATTTGTAGTTAGTTCCTGAGAACCTACTCTGATATTAAGGTAAACTGCATCTGAAGCAGCTCTGGGTTTCTCTGGTCCTGGTTCTAATCTAGTTCCGAACTTCTACAGAAGTTTCACAACTCTTTGCTGATGCCATCCTACCTGGGAATGAAAGAGCTGGAAGGATACTCCCAGGTCATCCGTGTAACCATCTCACCTTATAAATGATGGAACTGAGACGTAGGCCACGAGAAGCCATTTACCCAAAGGCACGCAGTGAGTTAGTGGCAATGCCAGAATTCTAATCCAGGGCCTTTGACTATGAATGTAGCTCAGGGCCACACCAAACTATATCTACTCATTTTTTAATCATAGACCTCCAAGTCTATAAAGGTCCAGAAAGAGAATATGATACAATAGAAAAAGAGGCGGGCTTTGGAGCCATCAGACCTGGGTTCAGATACTGACTCTGCCTCTTACTACCTCCGGAAGGTTAGATAATTCATCTAAACTCCCTAGCCTCAGTTTCCTTGTTAGATTAGATTCTAGCTATAAATTTAGCTTTATAAATTCTAGCTATAAATCCATGAAATTACGATTGACAGTACCTGGTTAGTCCAACTTTCTCCTTTAAAAAAAAAGGCTAGGGGTAGCTAGGTGGCGCAGTGGATAAAGCCCCAGCCCTGAAGTCAGGAGGACCTGAGTTCAAATGTGACCTCAGACCAAACACTTACTAACTGTGTGACCCTGGGCAAGTTATTTAACCCCAATTGCCAAAAAAAAAAAAAGGCTAGATTTTAGAATCACACACTTAGGCAGAACCAGAATTCGAATCCAGGTTTCTTGACTTGTAGGCTCCTGTTATTTTCATTATATCACACTGCCTTCCTTCTCCTCCTTTTTTCCTTTTGGTCTCCTTTTCTTTTATACACACATACATACACACAAATATACACACACAACACCTTTGAGCCCTGTGCCTTTAGCAGAACCCAGGGTTCCTTGGGTCTGATCATATGTTATCTTTACTAAGTCCTTACTTATCTACTCTTAACACACACTGCCCCCATACGCTGTCAGTCAATACCCCTAAGCATAGATATTTACATGGGACCCCAAATCCTGTCCAAGTAATAATGTCCAAATAATGTACTGTTCAAAGGGATATTAAAGACCCAATGTTCATCCTTCACCATGTGGGCACTTAAGCCTCAGGATCCACCTATGTCTGACCAGGTAACTTACAAGAAAGCATCTACATGGGGTGAGGAGGGGGGGCCTTCCCCCAGCAGGCACAAGCTTGGATGGCCTCCCCTTGCCCTTTATTTTCTGAGTCTACTGAGTGCTTTGGAAACCTGGGAAGTAACAAAAAATGACAGGAGAGAAGGAACAGGCCCCTTCTTTCCCCAGGAGGTAATGAAGAATGGGCCTTGGGCTGATTACTGTCTACCTCAAACCACACTGGAGCCTGGGTTGGAAAGGTCAAAGGGGCAGGAACTGAAAAGAGGGAAATAGATGTGTCCTCCACAGGACTGGGTACTTTGAATAATGCTCTTGCCTCCCCAACAAGACCATAAGCTCCCCAAGGACAAGAGAAAGCAAAGTATTATATTTCTAGACCAAAATATTTGACAGGAGAGGACCAAGGGGTTGGGCTTCCAGTTTCTTCCTGGCCCCAATCCCTTAGCATCTCCTTGAGTCCTGTGGCGCTCTGGATGGCAAGGGGCCCTGGAGGGGGCAACTCCTACTCTGGATTCATGGTCAGGTGTGGCAGATAGAGTGTGGACTTGAGTCAGGAAGATTTGGGTTCAGATCCTACCTCAAACACAAGCTATGTTAAGAAATCTTTCAGTCTCCATTTCCCCATCTGTAAAATGGGAATAGTAATAGCACTTACTTCAAAGATTATCCTGGGGATCAAATGAAATAATGTATATAAAACACCTTGTAAAGCTGAAAGTCTGACATAAATGTAATCTATGATTCTCATGTCCCAATATACCCCAGTCTCCCAATCTCTTTCTCACCATATACACTTTAGATCAAGTACTCAGAAAACTAGGTTGAGGCAACAGTCTCCTTAGCTTTGGTGTCCCTGTTTCTATCCCCCCCATCTGTCTTCCTTCTCAAGACTGTCCCTTTTTCTGTCCTCCAACCAGGTCAGCCTCCATAGGAGCTGAGAGTGGCGGCCGCTGGGTTAGAGAGCTGGAGGAATGCCACCTTGGCCCAAGGGACAGAGAGGTCAATATTCTCCATTTGCCATCCCCATGTCTTCCCCTCTACTTTTCCAGGGGGACTTGGTGTACAAGTGAGGCCATCACACCAAGGAACAAGGACCTGAGCATCCAGGGTCCCGGCTTCCTTCCTAAGCCCCAAGACGGAGGGCTCAGGAGCCTACATGTCTAGCCCCTTGTTCAAGTCATCTCTCAGCCCTCCCTCTCCCTTCTCTTTCCCCCCAAACCCCAGGAGACCAAAGTAGAGTCTGACTAGACCCCTTTCCTTCCCCTCCACTCCCCAAGCTCTCAGGACCATTAATCTATCCCCCTCCTGCCCTCCCTCCCACCACCCTGAGTGATGGTCCATCTATTATGCATGTTCTCTTCCTGCTCTCTTCCATCTCCAGTCCTCCCCCTCCTTCCACCACATCCCCCCCCACCCTCCCCACTCCCCTGTTAGGGCTTTTAACCAAATACATTAGCCAGGGACAGATGCCAGACTGACAGATGTCTATAATGGTAGTCTCCATTTCCTACTTCCCCTTTCCCCTCCCTCAACATAAATCCCCTCTGCCCTCCTTCCCTCTTCCCCCTCAAGTCTCAGCTACACCCTCCAAGTCCTTCTTCAGGTTTGCATTTCTGTATAGCTGGTCCTACCCAATGTCCTCCATAAGGCTCTGGCCCCCTTCTTTTCAGGGTCTGGTACCTGACCTCCTCCCTCAAAGCTTCAAGATTGCCCAGAACTCCAAATGAATATTCCATCTTGGTGGTTATTATTCACACAATATTAATTAAATATTAATTGCAATTAATTTCCTTCATTCTTAACCTTCCTTTGAGACACCCTAGGGGACAGCAGCTGAAAGGGAGCAGGTGACAGTGGGAGGGCTTGGCAGGCAACGGTTTAGCTGCGGATCTCAAAGCACCTTCTGGACACTCCAGACTCTGCCTTCAAAGGAAGGAAGGAAGAAGGACTGACAAGTCTCTCCACCCTAAAGTAGGGAACCATAAATAGAGCTGAGATGTCCTCAGTGAGATTTTGGGGCCGAAGAAAGAACCCAGGAGTTTCAATTCTTGATTCAAAGTTTCTCTCACCACTACTCCTCCTCTCCCATACCCCAACCAGGCCCAAAGTTAGCCCTATTTTGTAACAAAACTGTTCTCTCAAGGAAAAGGAATTTAGAAGCCTGGGGAATGGGGTATATCAGAGAGACTGGGATGGAGAGCTTAGAACTCCCCTGCCCCCAACCAAGTCTTTGAAGCACTTAGCTCACCAGGGCAATTGGAGATGAGTCTAGAGAGCTTAGCAGATCCAGCTGTTCATCAGATCTTCCCAGCCTCCTGTCTTGCAGCCCCTTAAGCATCTCCCTACAGAAAGGGAAACTGAGGCCCAAGAGAGGCAGGGCTTCAGAGGCTGAGTCAGTTCCTGAGAAGAGCTGGAAGGTTCAGGCTTGTCCTGTGGGTACCTCATTCCCTATGTCCCTTATCCAGGAGTCTAGGGAAGCAAGTCCTCTCCCCAAAACTTGCCATCCAGTTAACCATGCTCCCTTCCTAATGCATCCCACTCACCGGGCCCCCAGGTGGCTCCTTGCGTGCTCTGGTGTCCAGCTCTTGCTTGCTGATCTCTCTCCCAGAGCTCTCCCCCACCAGGCGGCTGGGATAGGTGACCTCCGAAGCATGCAGCCCCCTGTCCCAGGGATGTTTCCCCCACTGCAGGGCTCCTGTTGGCCCAGCCACCCCACCAAGACCTGCAGAGACAAAGCACCTGCTAGGGGGGAAGGCACCACAGTGGGGGAGAGGGGACAGGGAACAGGGACTGGGACAGATACATGAACAGAATGATGGACTCCCCAGAGCCCTAGGGTTATGGTGTCACCTGTGGAGACCTGAGGAGGTAGAGTCACCGACAGGGAGGGAATGGCTGTGCTGGGCAGTCGGCAAGGATGAGGAGCGATGGACCAGATGGGCCCTCCTCCTTTATTCCAGCCCAAGCATCACTACAGACCCCCTTCTCCAACGTCCCACGGGGGGAGCTGGGAAACCTGGGCATCCCAGCAGGGGGGTGGCCCCGGTAGAAAGACAGTTTGGATGGGGACAGGTGGGTGGATGGCTCCCTGGCACACCTCAACCCTCCTAAACTCGGTGCTCCCCCCACACACACTGCAGAAAAATGTGGATGCAGCAAAAATATACTGCAATCTGGGGGGGGCAGGGAAGATGGGCCGGGGCTGGAGAAGAGGAAAAGGGCCTGGTCGAGGGGCTGGGGAGTGGGGTAGGATCTTTGCGACCAGGGCCCTCCGATTGGGACTGGGGGAAAAAGGGGGGCACTCACCAGGCTGTGGGAATAGGGCGAAGAAAACGACGAAGGCTACCAACACCCAGCGGAGCATCCGACTCATCCTTCCCTCATAATCTCCCCAGGTCGGGGGGCTGAGGACAAGGAGGGAGATGCCCGGCTGGGGGGCCGGGAGGCTGGGGTGGGAGCCAGCCGGGGGAGAAAGAAGGCGAGGGCTGGAAAGGGGGTCGCTGCCTCTGCTGTCTCTCTCCCAGGCTGGATTGGGGTGGGGAGGCTGGGATTTGAGGAGCAGGTGAGGGGAGGGGGGAGAGGGGCAGGGGCCGGGTGGCCGCCCCCAGAGCTCAGGAAGAGGGAGCCGTCTCCATCCCCCTGCGGCGTGAGCCCAGTGTTAAGTGCCGAGCTGGGGGAGCACGTGAGGAGAGAGCCCGCCCCCCTTTCCCTTCCCCCTCCTTTCCTCCTCCCCTCCCCCGCCCCGCCCCGCCCCGCCCCAAACCAGCACAGGGGCAATGCCCGGCCACCCGGGCACCCGGGACAAAGCCCAGCCGAGGCACCGCGGGAGGGAAAGGACAAAGAGAGAGGCGGCCGTCCAGCTCCCCTCCCCTTCGGCCCCCTCTACCTCCCCAGCGTCGGCTCCAGGCTTCACCCGACCCTTTCCTTTCCCTCCCCAGGCACCCGGCTTCTTCCCAAGTCGAGCGGGCAGGTTCGCAGGGCTGGGGATGGCTCTTCCCCCCCGGCCCCCTGAGGTGCCCAGGCCATGGGCCAGGAGCCCCTCCTGCCCCTCATCAAGGGGGAAGGTCATTCCTTCTGCTTATCTACCTCTGCCCAAGTCCAGAGACAACAGGATACTCCACTGTCCCCCATTAGGAGACCCAAGCCAGAGCTGCACTCTAAAAGGAGCCAGGCACTGTATAGAGATAAGTTTGGGGTGGGGTGTAGAAGACAGCATACCCCTAAAGAAAGGAACACTGGGGCGGGGGGTGGGGCGAGGGTGGAGTAGGAGAGACATCCTCACCTCTTTTCATCACAACGTTGTCCCAAGGGACTGCTCCTATGTTCAGGCTAGGCTCTGGGACCAAGAGGGATGGGGACTAGGACTTCCCCATTCTCATCCTTAGAGACCTTCTTCGGAGGGTCACTGAGGCTGGGGAGGAGTCACCTCACTGGGTGAGGGAGAGAATACCAGGGCTCATCCCATCTAGCCCTCTGGTCCATTGAAACTGACCACAGAGGAAGAATTAACGTGGAGGCTAAGGGTTGGGGTAGGGAGCAAGTGACTATCTGAATGGGGCAGAGAAAGGTGCTGTAGAAAGACCAATACAGGGGAGCAAGAAGGAGGCTACTAGGAGAAGTGTGGCAGGGACCCATGATCAATTCTCTTCTCCACCTCCTTCCTACAGGAATCATACACCCACTTGCTCTCCCTGCAAAGTGGGTTATTGCTGAGTTGACCCATGAATTGGTGTCTCTGCCATGGAAGGGGGCTCAGCTACGCTTCCCTTGGCTCTCTCCATCAGTCACTTCTTACATTGCCCAGCTCCTCATCAATCCATATAAATCTCCTTGGTCTCTTACTGACCCTTGACCAACTTTTGTATCAGCACCCCTTTATCCTGATCCTGTAGGCTCATTGCTTCTACCCGCTCAGGGTGCCCTCTACCTTATTCTTCAGGAAGCCTTATTTGATAAAGTCCATCCAAGAATAATAATAATAATAGGACATAGGGACTGGACCTCTGATATCATTTGTATATGCATGTAAGGAAATTTCCTCTAAGGAAGTTGTTGTTCAGTCATGTCTAACTATTCCTGACTCCATTAGGTATTTTCTTGGCAAACGTATGAGTGGTTCACCATTTCCTTCTCCAGCTCATTTTACAGATGAGGAAACTGAGGCAAACAGGATTAAGTGACTTGCACACAACTAATAAGTATCTGAGGTCAGATTTGAACTTAGGTCTTCCTGACTCCAGGCTCTGGTGTTCTATCCACGATGCCACTTGAAAGCCTCTCTAAGGATGTAGTTCCACACTTTTTCTGTAATTTAGTCTTAGAGAACACCCCTGAGTAGTTAAATGATTTACACAGGTTCACATAGGCAATAAGGTTAGAGGGGGGCTTGAATTCAGGTCCTTCCGGCTTCTTCAACTGGACCCTATCCACTAAGCCCTCTTTGCCTCTCTAATAATAAGAGCTGACTTATATAGCAGTGCCTTATGTTATCTCATTTATCCCCCAACAATCCTGTGAAATAGGTGCTATTATTATCTCCATTTTGCAAGTGAAAGGTTGAATGAAATAATGTATGTTAAACACTTATAGAACTACATAAATGTCCCATCATTATTATTGAGTAGTAAATGTCTGGGACAGCATGGCAGAATGGATACAGAGCTGTCCTTGGTATCCAGAGGCATGACTTTAAGTCTCATCTCTGACACATCCTAGTCTGTGACCAGGACCACGGACAACTTCCCAGTGCCTCAAGGCAACTCCCTATAAAAATAACTTGCAGAAAAAACCGGTGATCAGCTGCTTTTGGACAGTTTCCTTACTGGAAGTTCCCTGCATTGATAAAAATCACAGATCCAGTACTATCCCACTCAAGTGTTTGGGGCAGGATGCATACCTAAGTCCTGACTTTCTAAGTCTTCCCCCATATCAGTACTGACTTGGTGCCTCCATGAATAGATCCTACTAGTCTTCTCTTAGACAAAGCCAGAAGCCCTGAGTTTGAGTCTCAGATCTGAGCCTCACCTTTCTCATGCATAAAATAGGAGTCATAATAATTAGCCTCATGCCACCTCCTCCTTAAGGCTGTCATGAAGACACAAACATAAGCCACTGTGCTTATCTTGATCCAAGCCCCTTAGATTTAGGTTCTTCCCTGAGGGCCATCTGGTATCGCCCATTCTGCACAGGGAAATTATAGAACAAACAGGTAGGGCCTGGCTCCTATCCATTCTTCTAACCTCCACCAGTCTTCCCAGTTGCTGGTTCCCTTGCTTTGGGGAGCTTTGTTGGAGTTTGGTCCTGAAGTTCTGGCTGAGGCAACAGGTATTTCTTCTGCTTTCTAACTCCCTCATCTTTGATTTGGAGTAGGTGGGAGTGGGGTAGAAATCACATAACTTGGGAGGGGATCTGAGCTCCTGGGTCCCAATTGTTTTGGCTCTTGAGCTGGGGAGTGAAAGACCTGCCTTGTTCAGGGTCATTGGGAAGAGGAGGCCTAGAGACAGGCCGTCCTTCTCACTGTGCCAGCTGGAGACTGGGCACCCACTGCAGAGCCAGGCATGCAGCCCACAGGCAGCAGGCACCAGGTTAGCACAGCTGAATCTTTCACTCTCAGACCCTAAACAAGGTGAGGGACAAGAAGGCTGGAACAGGGAGGGAGGTCATTCCATGCTTCCTCTGGAGACTCAGGCCACAGTTAAGAGGGTGGTGGTGGCAGCTGGCTCATGACAGACAGTTTTCCTAGCCAAGCTCTATTTCAGTCTCGGGAGAGGTGAGAAGGCGTTTTCCCAGGAGCTGACATCAGTGCTGGGTATGTGTATGTGTGTGTGTGTGTGTGTGTATGGAGGGGGTGGGGGGGTCAGGGGGTGGGAAAGGGTGCAATGGGTGTGACTCCTTTCCCTCCACCATACAGTTGAAGAGATGATTGTGGGGCAGGGCTTGGGGAAACCGACTTTTTTCGGGAGCAATCTGTGAAGAAGCACTCTGGATTTCCACAGAGATCCCAAACTGATAAATGAAGGGGAATAAACCATCAGACCTCTACACCTTGGTCCATTCCTCTCCCTTCCATAGGGGAAGCTGAAACCCCAATGAGTCAATGGAATCCTCCTGGCTAGGAGGAAGGAAGGTTAATGGGATATCCCCAGGAGGAAGAAGGAGACCTTCACCCATCACTACATTAATAATAACTACAGTGATACTAATAATAATTCCTTACATACAACTAGTACTTTGCAGAAGTATTTAGTTTTTTGCACAGACTTTCTTTAATTTGATCAGCACAACAGCCTTGTGACATTGAGTATTATCATTGTCCCCATTTTACAAAGGAGGAAAGTGAAGCCCAGAGAGATTACATTGTAGGATCATAGCACTGAGAACTGGAAATGATCGAGTCCATCCTCTTTATATTATGGGAGAGGAAATTGAAACCGAGAGAAGATTAAGAGAATGTCTGAAGGAGACCATGGACTCCTTTAGCAACAGTACGGCAAAAGCTTTGGACTTCCTTCTCAGAATAAAGCTCTTAAATGCATAAAATAAAATACATAGGATTCCCAAGGAAACCAATTATATTGCAATACAGTCATAAGAATATTTATAAAAAAGTTAACAGACCCCAATTTAAGAATCCTTGTTCTAGGGATGCTCTCAGAAAAATATGGAAAGACTTACATGAACTGATGCAAAGTGAAGTAAACAGGACCAGGAGAACATTGCACACACTAACAGCAATATTGTATGATGATCTACTGTGAATAACTTAGCTATTCTCAGCAATACAATAATCCAAGACAACTCTGTAGGACTAATGAGGAAAGGTGTTGTCCATCTCCAGAGAAAGAACCAGTAGAGCCTGAATGCAGAGCAAAGATATTTTTCTTTACTTTATTTTCCTTGGGGGTTTTTTGTCTGTGTTTTCTTTTGAAGAATGTCTTACATGGAAATGTGTTTTGCATGGCTACACATGTATAACCAATGTCAAATTGCTTTGTCTAATCAATTCGGGGGAGGGGAAGGAGGGAGAGAATTTGGAACTCAAAATTTGAAAAGAGTGTTAAGATTGTTTTTACATGTAATTGTGAAAAATAAAATATCAAATAAGATTTTAAAAAAAGAATCCTTGCTCTAAGCTCAAACAGATGATAACAGCTAGTATTTGAGCCCAGGTCTTATAGGTCCATGCCAGATACAGGGCAGACCTTTGCCTCCCAGAATCACAAAACCTCTGAGTTGAAAGTCTCCGAAGCTATCTGTCCACCCCATAACAGTTCAAGAATCTCTTCTATAACATCCTAGATGAGTAGCCATCCAGACTGTACTTGGGGACCTCCTGCTTCATCACCTCCCTAGGTAGCTCATTTCACTTGAGGGGCAGCTCTATGTGTTAATTCAATTTAACAAAACTTTATTAAGCACCTACAATGCATAAGTGGTATGACAGAGTCCCTTCCCTCAAAAAGAAAATTAGATTCTGTGGAGAAGAAGTAAATACAGAGTGTCAGCAAAGTGATTTCAAGAGAGGCAAAGCACAAATACCTGGATGGATCAGGAGGCAGAAGCTGAGCTCTGCTTCGAAGGAAACTATCATATGGCATCAGAAATAAATTGGAAGCCCCTTGCAGACACCAGGGGCTAC